AAATTCAAAAACAAACAAACAAACTGTCCTGAAAATGCGCGCTCACCTTACTATCTAAAGGCGCGTGCGAGCGTACTTTATTTAAAGGAATGTAAACAAAAAATGGGTGAAGTATATTTTAGTAGACATTTTGTACAACAAATATTAAAAGCTTATTATCAATGTTTTAAAAAGGTCTAACGTTAGGTCGTAGAATAACATTATAAGTTTATCCCTAACTAAACTAAACCTAAAACTTTACGCAAGTTATAATGCTTAATTTATCTCATTATCGTTTGTTTGTTTGTAATTAAGCACAAAGCTACACAATGGGCTATCTGTGCTCTGCCCACCACTGGTATCGAAACCCGGATTCTAGCATAGTAAGTCCGCAGACATACCGCTGTGCCACTGGGGGGCCTCATTATCGAATAAGAGAAAGTGTCAGTTATGCCTTAAAGGATATATAGAAAATAAAACGCATATCCTAGATTCCACTGGCGAGATTTTATTTCAAATAAATTCCATTTTTAACTGTGATTCAAAATATATTCTTTATACCTTATTTTCTATATGTGAGGGAGAAGCAAAAAAATTAAGAATTAGAATAAATCTACATAAATATCGCGTGAGAAATCCACATTTAAGCCCATTATCAGGTAGTGCACATTTTAACAGTTGCCTTAATAATCAATTTAAAAATTTATCATTCTTGGTCATGTTATAATAACATAAGAAGATTGGAATATGGAATTTTTTTTTTTAAAATTCAAATCCTCCTTCAATATTAAATCATAGATGGAGCTTATTATTATATATATTTCCCGTCTGTTTTTAAACATATATTTTAATATATAATACATTAAAAAGAAGTAGGGTAATTGTTTTATTATATTTTTATTAGTTACACAATTAATAATCTTTAACTTTTTACTTTATTGTAAACTTTAAGCATATTAGAAAGTTGTATTAGAATTACACAGGGTTTATATTTCATTACGAAGTAATCCATATCTTTAATCAGAGATTTTATGATTTTATATTTTATTGTGTAAGTAATCTATTTATATTTGTTATAATTTTAATCGGGGATTATGCAATTTGCAGTAAATTTAAGTTGTGATTTTATATATTCTAAAGCAAAAACAATTTATAGACAAGGTTTAATATTTGAATTATATTCTTTTTAAGGTGGAAGTAAGAAGAGCTGAAGAGTGATGAAAACTACGAAACCGGTTTTGTAAAAAAGAAAGTAATTTTAAATAACTGTCAAAGTTGAAAGAATAAAACAAGCTGCTGTATAATATTCACATAAAATGTAATATGAATTGTGTCACTTATTCGTATTCATCGTGATCTGGTCTCAAGTTAATAAATATCAAATATTCGGAAAATACATAAAATAATTTATGTAGCAGCATGTGTTTCGAATTTGAATTAATTAATTATTGATGTTAAGCGCAAAGCTATACTAAGGGGTATCTGCGCTGTGCCCTCTGCAGGTATCGAACACTGAATTGTTACGCTATAGTCCCAAGCTTACCGCTGAGCAGTCTGGGGGATTTTAAATGTAATTACCCCTATTCAGTGTACATATTTCAACACACTGTATACTGATAGGTATTATTGTTAACATGCAACACACTGTTTATCTCTTTCTATAGCTGAGAAAAAAAATGTATTAAAGTTTAGCCAAAAATCCACATTCATGTCGGTGTCCGTTTCATTTGAGCCTATGCCACTAACGATTAGTTCATCAATAGTACACAGAGTTGAATAATTCAGTTGAAAAAAGTTACGTGAATATAGAGAATGATATAACATTGATACTGATATAGTGAGAAGGGTGAAGAACAAGTTGTTTCTACACCACAATTTCCACACGTGCACGCTCACACTAAAATACTGTTCTGTGTTTATTTTATTTTTTATATAACGCAACCATCAACATATTAATTGATTTTATCACGAAAAACGGTACTTAATAAAAACATACACATGACAAGAATTCTTATATAAATAATAAAAACAGCTATAATAAAACTTCTTTTTATTCACTTATTGCGAACTTAGGGATCCTTCCTCCGGTAGTTTTAGCGCAAAAACTGGCAGATTTTTTAGATGGGGGGGGGGGGGCTAGAAACATACTAGTATCTCACTACTGCTGATCACAAAATGTACCTCTGTTTTAACCAACGCAATACAGAATAACATTATGAAGCTTCTATAGCTCAATTATGAATATATATTATCGTCATCATTAGCCTTGTTTAGTTTAGTTTCCACTACTGTCCCAATATACTTTTGTATGATCGTCATCATTAGCCTGGTTTAGTTTAGTTTCCACTACTGTCCCAATATACTTTTGTATGATCGTCATTATTAGCCTGGTTTAGTTTAGTTTCCACTATTGTCCCAATATACTTTTGTATGATCGTCATTATTAGCCTGGTTTAGTTTAGTTTCCACTACTGTCCCAATATACTTTTGTAAGATCGTCATCATTATCCTGGTTTAGTTTAGTTTCCACTACTGTCCCAATATACTTTTGTATGATCGTCATCATTATCCTGGTTTAGTTTAGTTTCCACTACTGTCCCAATATACTTTTGTTAGTTGTTGAATATAAATATTCATGCGTACAACGTGCAGTTCAAAATTTCGCGTATATTGTCTTACGCATTTCTCGATAAAAGTAATTATTAAATACAACTTTCCTTTGTCTATGTAAAGAGCACAGAGGAATGTGATATAATGAGTTTTGTCATGTAGTCACTATCAATAACTTCCAGAACTTATATACATATAACAATAAAACTATTTCAGTTAGAGATAGGTAGCTACATCACATGAACTTGAGTAGCAGTAATTTGCTGAACAAATTTACGTCAGTCATCTTTAAGATTATAATTTCACTTGTTCAATTATTCTACCAGCTTTGATTACAATAACTAGTATCATATCCACATGTGACTAAAGTGTAGCACATTAGGCTGCTTCGCTGGATTTTTTGTTCATTCTTTATTAACTTCCGAGCATGTTTTTGACGTGACTTTGATGATTCCCTGCGTAACTTTCCAACCAGTACATATAATGCACAATGGATATCAAAAGTTCATAAGGAAAGATAATGGCAGCAGCATGTTTTTCACTCATCGATCTCACAAACAATCTACCATTTCAGTTTTAAGATTATACTATTACCCGTCATTTCTTCCCCAA